GTGTGTGTTGTGTGTGTGTGTGTGTGTGTGTGTGTGTGTGTGTGTGTGTGTTGTGCGTGTGCGTGTGTGTGTATGTGTGTGTGTTGTGTGTGTTGTGTGTGTGTGTGTGTGTGTGTGTGTGTGTGTTGTGTGTGTGTGTGTGTGTGTGGTGTGTGTGTGTGTGTGTGTGTGTGTGTGTTGTGTGTGTGTGCGTGTGCGTGGGCGTGGGCGTGTGCGTGCGTATGGGTATGGGTATGCGTACGCGTGTGCGTGTGTGTGCGTGTGCGTGTGCGTGTGTGCGTGTGTGTGCGTGTAGGTGTGCGTGCGTGCGCGTGGGCGCCTTTCTGTAAATTATACGAAACTCTTTATTCTGAAATTGATCCAGAGTACATCGAAAGCGTCCTGACACGAACATCCCTCACAATGACGTGAAAACATCCGGGTCAGATGGTCCTGTTCCCCTTTCATCTACCAGCCTCTCCCTCACCTTCTCCCTCTCTCTCTCTCTCTCTTTCATTAATGCCGCCCATTATCTTCCCCTCTCCGGGGATGACAACTGCAACTTCATTAACACGGCTGCAAACGGCATTAATTCATCCTCAACTAAGGAGTCTGGTATAAAAGCCGTTAATGTGCGCTTGGAGAATTACTCAATTATTTCCCAAGTCCTCGTAAAATCCGTTCCCTACCCTTCCCCCTTCCCCTCCCCCCTCCCCCCCCTCCCCTTCTCCCTCTATTCCTATCCCCATTCTCTCCTCCATCCCACCCTCCTCCTCACCCCCTCCTCCACCATCATCTTGCGCCATTCGTCCTTCTCTTTCATTCTCTTCCTTGCCTTCCTCTCTTTGGCCCCTTCCTCCCGTTCTTCCTCCCTCCCTTCTCCAATCACAAAGATGAGGAGAAATATGTATAGGATGATGGGGCTTATTGAAGAAGAGGGAGGGAGGAGGAGGAGGGAGGAGGAGGAGGAGGAGGAAGGAGGAGGAGGAGGAGGAGGAAGAGGGAGGAGAGAGGAGGAGGGGGGGGGAGGCGTTGCTTGTGGATGAAGAAAAATGATGTGCGCGTGCTTGTGACGGAATTCGGGTGATGTTTGGAGAAAATGGATGGTTGGGGAAGCATTTTCTTGAAGATGAGGTAAGCAGAAATATGCCGAACGGAGCCTAGGTCAACCCGCCGGCCGTAAAGAGGCAATGAATGGCTTGCGCCCCGCGAAGGTGGCACGGCAGCGAAAGGAGAGGAAGAGCAGCGGCGGAATGCCACGGAGGAGGACGGGCCTCGGAGGGCCGCTGAGTAACGCAAGCACCGCGGCGGCACGGAGACCCGAGCGATAATTCAGAGGAGGTTCCCCGCCAGCACGACGCAGCGAGCCGGCAGAGCGCGACACACGCTGGCACGGGGCCAAGTGCAGCAGCCTGCCGCCGCCTTCACCGCCACCGCCGTCACCGTCACCGCCGCCGCGTCACCGCACCGCCGCCCGCTACATCGCGCCGGCATCTTTCTCTGTACAGTCAGACACCGATGGAAGGCAATCATCAGCCACTACAAGGCTACCATCGCAATTACCTTGAAAAAAAATTACTAACCATCTTTTCCATTTGCAGCCCTCTCCCCTCCCGGTTGATCGCCGCGGAATAAAACCAAACAACCAAAAATGTCTACTGTTTCATCGCCCCGACATCTAAACGACACGCATCAATCAGGCCCGGCGGACACCCTTCACCACGCGACCAGGTACGCTAGCCGTCGGCGTGACTTCCGGAATCCCCCCCACCCGGTACCCCCGCCCCCCCAATGACCTTGGCGCCGCTGCCGCGTTACGCCAGCGCCGGACTTGCCCGCTGTCACAACTCCCCGCCGCGCCGCGTGTGCTCCGGAGGTCGTATTCCTAAATACACGGCTCGAGCGCTTCTCCCTGCTGATGGCTGGACAACTACGGCGGTGATGATGATGATGAACGAGGTAATTACACAAAGGTAAATCAGAGAGAGAGAGAGAGAGAGAGGGAGAGGGGAGAGAGAGAGAGAGAGAGAGAGAGAGAGAGAGAGAGAGAGAGAGAGAGAGAGAGAGAGAGAGAGAGAGAGAGAGAGAGAGAGAGAAACATGATCTGATTCGGGAATGAGTTTAACAAAATAGCCTTCGGGGAATAGCACCAATTTATCGCGCGCGCGTGCGCGCGCGTTGTGTTTATGTGTGGTGTGGGGGGGGGGGGGGGGACGGGAGAGGGAGAAGGGGGAGAGGGAGAGGGGAGGGGAGAGAGGAGAAGGGGGAAGGGAAGGAGGGAGGGAAGAGGGAGAGGGAGAGGGAGAGGGAGAAGGGGAGTGAGGGAAGAGGAGAGGAGAGAGAGAGAGAGAGAGAGAGAGAGAGAGAGAGAGAGAGGAGAGGAGAGGAGAGGAGGGAGAGGAGAGGGAGAGGGAGAGGGAGAGAGAGAGAGAGAAGAGAGAGAGAGAGGACGAGAAGAGATGAGAGAGAGGAGAAGAGAGAGAGAGAGAGAGAAGTAGAGGAGAAGAGAATTGAGCTGAGAGAGGAGGGCAGAGGAAGGGGGGAGAGAGAGAGAGAGAGAGAGAGATGAGGAGAGAGAGAAAGGGAAGAGCGAGGGAAGGGAGAGGGATGAGGGATAGAGGGGGCAGAGAAGGAGGGAAGGAGAGAGAGAGGAGAGAGAAAGAATGAATAGAAAAAAGCGAGTATAAAAGGGAAGAAGACAGGAGTGAAGGTGTGTGATAGGGAAGGAGGCGGGAGAAGAGGGGGATCCGAGGTAAGTGGTGGTAATAAATGAGTAAAGAGGAAGAGAGAGGGGGGGGAGAGGGGTGGGGGGGGGAGAGGAAGGAGCGAGATTAGAGAGGAAGAGAGATGCATGAAAGAGAGAGGAGAAGAGNATACAACACCTAGCACTTAGTGTAATCAATTACTGCTTAAACATCTGGGGCTCCACAAATAGAACAAATACAAAGAACACAGAAACTACAGAACTTTGCAGCAAAAGTAGCACTAGGAAATATAAACAGATATGACCACATCACAGAAATATACCAAATATACCACTAGCATGGCTAAAAGTGCAACAGAAATACAACTATAACACATGTATTCTAATCCATAACATCATAACAAGGAATTTACCCAAATTGGCTATTACCTATACAGACAACAGGTAACACAACGGGTGTCTGTACAAGGCAAAATAGCATATGTTTATTAGTCTGAGGGTTGGAACAAGGGGAGCTCAGTGCTAGTTCCTCACTACCATTACCATTATCGTGGGCGCTGTCGTCGCCATCAACATTTTTACCATCATTACCACCACCACCATAGCCATCCCAGGACACAGGTAATCAGGTAAGAGTAAAAAAAAAGCTTTTTATTCACACGAGAATGTGTGAATAAAAGGAAATACGAATGAAAAGTCGAAAAAAAGGTAACAAACTTCTCTGTCACGCCGGACGCCCGGGCTGTGTCGGGTTCCCCTTTGGACCCGCGGTGATGCGTGGGGACAGGTGAGGGTGTTGAGGGCGGTGGCGGTGGTGGTGAGGGCGGTGGGGATGAATGTGAGAATGATGGTGAAAAGGATAATAATGGGAGGGAGAGGGAGACCGAGAGGGAGAGGGAGAGAGAACGAGAAAGAGAAACTGAGAAACAGAGAGAGAGAAACGCAGAGAAACAGAACATGAGAACCGAAAATAAGAAATAGAAACAGGAACAGAGAAAGATAAAAACAGAAACAGAGAGGAGGCCAGAGAGCGAGGAAGATCGAAAGGCAGCGTCCGGGCTAATAGCGTATGGCAGGCGGGGAGCAGAGGGGGGAGAGGGGAGAGGGGAGAGAGGGGGAGCGGGGAGGAAGAGAGGGAGAAAGGAGGGGAGAGAGGAGTGACGGGGAGGGGAGAGAGGGGACGGGGGGAGGGGAGAGAGGGGGGGGGAGTGTGCGTGAGTCAGGCAGGTTGTCAGGCTGTCCATCACGCAGGCAACAAGGAAGAGAGAGGGAGAGGGAGAGGGGAGGGAAGGGCCACACGAAAAATAGAGAAAAAAAATTGAGATAAACAGATGAAAGAGAGGAAACGGTGGAGTGAGTTATAAAAGAAGAGGGAGAGAGGGAGAGGAGAGAGAGAGAGGGAGGGGAGAGGGGAGGGAAGAGATAGGGAGGGAAGAAGCTAGGGAGAGAAGGGAGAATAGGAGGGAAATGGAGAGAAAGACTCTGGAGATTAGAGAAAGGAGACGAGAAAGAGGAGAGGAGCGAAGGGGAAAGTGAGAGTAGGAGAGTAAGGAGATGAGAGATGGAGAAAAGGGAAGGGAAGACAGCGACAGCAACAGAGATAGGAACAGAATGAAGAGGAGAGAGAGAAGAGAGAGAAGGAATAGGGAAATAAAAAAAGGAAAAAAGGTTACGAAAAGAGAGAGAGAGAAGGAAGGACCAGAGAATAGGGAACTAAAAAAAAAAAAAGGTAGCGAGAAAGCTAGAAGAAAAGGGCAAGAGGCAGCGAAAGGACACGAGCGAAGAAGGGGTCGTTGAGTTTTTCTCTTCGCGCCGCCGACGGAGGGAGGCCGAAGGGAGCTCCGGAAACGCCGAGTGAAAAGTCGAGGAAAGGAAAACGGCGGAGGCATTTCTGCTGGAGGCATAACGTGAGAAGAGGGGGGGGGGTAGGGGCGGAGGGGGGTGGGGTGGGTTGGGGGAGGCGATGTAATGTTCTCATAAAGAAGTACTCATATATAGAGATGTCATATACGCCGTCTCTCCCTCCTCTCCCTGCGCTCCTCCTCCTCGTCGTCCTCGTCGCTCACGCAGTCTCGTCGTTCCTCAGCCAGCCTATGACCCTCCCCTCCCATCACCTCCTCTCCCCCCTCCCTGCAATACCCTGTGCCCTCTCACCCCCCTTCTTCCACTGTTCAAGTGCCTCCCTCCTCCTCCCTCATATAACTCACCCTCCCTCTCCCCTTTGCTTACCACCTCTCTCCCTCTCCATTCCCTCCACACCATCCCTCTCCCTCCTGCACTTCCCCTCTCCTCTCCCCCTCCCCCCTCCCCATTTCCC